ATCAAACTAACACTTTGCCTCGATAGCCGCGTATCGTATTTCTACAATTCAACCGCAGATATCCCACCTCCGTCAATACCCAGGCTATTCGACAACTGCGGACGCGACGCACTCGAGCCTCTGGGCAACGTCGACGTTCTCGGTCGACCCTATCTGGAATCTACAAACCTGATACCGATCGTACCTGGAATTGCAACGGTTGTATCCGATCTCGCCAGGCTTCAGTATGATGTAATGTCGTACCTCACGTCTGGCAGTACCATCAAGGGAAGCATCGAAGATTTGAGGCGCAAGAAGCACTGGTATTGCAGATTGCAGGAGTTCAGGGAAGCGTTACCCAAACGCTTTCAAATAGAATACAACTTCACTCCTGCAACTTGCTTCTTGAGGCAAGTTTAACAATTCCGGTCGTCTTCGGCGAGATAACGAAACAGGGAATCATGCTAACATCAATCAGGATGCATGAGAACGAGCTAGCCTATGCTGTCCTCCAGTCACTCAGCCCATCAACCATCTTCGACACTCCCTTCACCCCACACTCAACAACCGTGAAGTCCCTCTGTCTCCAGCACTGCATCTCCGACACAACCCTCGCAGAGTCATACTTACAACGCTACTGTACTCACTCGTACATCACCCGCGTCATGTTTGTGGCGATGCAACACCTCATGCCCTATCTCAACGAAGGCCACGCTGCCACAAATGACCTCTTCACCCGCCTCTGCATGATGGGCGGTATCTCGGCGCGCGTTGTCCGAATGTCAATGTACCTCCTTCAAGCGGTGCAGGCCATGGCCTGGGCAATGAAGCAGGACATTCCGGCCACCGCGAGGCCTTACCTCGATCCCTGGGTGAGGCTGGCAATCCAGGAGAGTGAGACAAAGGCACCGAGCTACGCTGTTCCGGACCGCGATGAGATCAAGGCCCTCCTGGCCGACGATGACCAGAGCGATGGGGAATCTGGCGAGAGCGGCGCCGAACTGTGGGCATTGGTGGAGAAGTGGGCTCTCAGCACTGGAAAGGGTCTCCCATGATTTGTTCATATATTGAATAGGGAGCCTGGCGTTTTGGAATAGTCTGCATGGCATGTGGTGCAAGCGTGTTTGGTCATGACTGGGAGTGAAGGATCTTTTTGAGCATTTACCATGCCTGTGGCGGTCATTAGCGGAACAGAGATTTAGGTTGCGCGAGCTGCCATTGTTGCTGCCAGATCATGACCAAAGGCTGATGCAACATCGTGACAGTGAACGCTCGAAGCCATCGAGGCTCACTCCACGCACCGAAGCTGGGCAAGTGCCCGCGGGCACCAAAGGATCGAGAAGATTTCAAGTTACCTCCATGGGACCATGATCGACATCTTTGAGTGGCCCGGTTGTTCCAATGTCTTGGCTATCGAGAGTGCATCGAATTGCGCACCAATCAGGGCTAGCGATTCATTCGGCGAATTGTCAACGTTGTCTTAAGCATATGACTGGGGGTAAGCAGATTGATGTCACCTTCCCACTTCGTAGCGGCAACCCCCCTCCAGCTTCTCCAGATGAAGCAGATGTGGACACTTGAGTTAAGCTTGATAGATCCCACCGGAGTCCCGTTCGTACTTGCAATACCGTTCGGTGCTGTTCCGAGTCCCTTGCGTTCGTCTGTACACATCGAGAATGCGAGTATGTCATGAAGAGCCTATTCCGCAAAGTCGCAGCACCTCGTATTCTTCAACTTCCACGAAAGCTCTAGCTTAGCTGCCTTTACCTGTTCTAGGCCTGTCTCCTTGATTCTAAGTTGCTAGCCACATCCTGTTCCATCCTCCCGTCCCCTCACTCTCCTTCACACGGGCTCTCTCGAGGCCACCAAACGCTTGCGAGTCCGGAGATATGCCTCCCGTCGATATTCGATGTGCACCTTGCTTGAACGGGGCTTTCGGTATTTACATGTTATGATACGAGGAACGAAAAGATATGCACCTCTAGTGTCACATCCCGTCAAGTCTCCGCACATGCGCAACAACGATACTTCTTTCTATCTCTGCAACTGGTCGGTCTTGTTCAATCAGCCAAGTTACAGCTCAAAACAAGTCCTTCAACGTAGAAGATCTCAAGCCATATAAGCTGACATTCGACGCTGGTCCGACTCTCTCCCACGTAACTTGTCAGTGCTTACGGCAGTTGCAGCTCCTCCGCATACTTCTCTCAGGCTGTCATCAAAATGCCTTCTCTAGCCTCCATCGTCGTCACTCTCCTCCAAGGCCTATGCGTTGCGGTCCAGGCACAGACAACAATCACATCCACCGGAAACCCCATCATCGCCGATGGAACCTACTACACAGCAGACCCAGCCCCTTTGGTCGTGAACAACACAGTCTACATTCTCACCGGCCGAGACACCGCCCCCGCAAACCAAAATGCCTTCATCATGAACGAGTGGGAGATGCTCAGCAGCACCGAGCCGCGCCCATCTGGAGCCCAGTGGCAGCTAAGAACCAATATTGCCCGCCCGGAATCCGTCTTCAAGTGGGCTGCGTCCGGAACTGCCTACGCCTCTCAAATCGTGCAGGGCCCGGACAAGAGATTTTACCTCTACGCCCCCGTCACGCAGGCCTCAACTTCGAACTCTGATCGGTTCGCTATCGGGGTTGCTGTCTCGGCCAACCCCTGGGGTCCTTTCACAGATGCTCGCCCCAGTGGGCCTATCGTCTCGCAGTCCGTCCCATCGCCAGGGAATACCATTCAGAATATCGATCCGACAGTCCTACTCGACGATACCGGGAGGGTCTATCTCTACTGGGGCACATTCGGTCAGCTCCGTGGCATCGAACTCGCGACAGATATGGTCACAACCATCGGACAAGCCACATCAGTCAACAGCTTAACGGGCTTCTTCGAGGCTCCATGGCTTCTTAAGCGTAAGGGGACGTACTACATGCTCTACGCCGCCAACAACGCCGGCCCAGATTCGCCATGCACCCCGACATCCTACCATGCCTGTATCGCCTACGGAACCGCCTCCTCTCCCTTAGGCCCGTGGACCTTCAGGGGCGTGATGCTAGACATCGTCTCTTCAACCACGTCACACCCGGGTGCCTTTGAGTTGAACGGCCAGTGGTACCTAGTCTACCACACCCGAGATGCCACAGGAGGCGGCCACTTCCGCCGCAGCATAGCCCTAGACTTCATGACCTGGGACGACAACCAGTCACCCCCGCGTATCAACAAAGTCATCCAGACGCGTCGCGCTCAGCCCGCCGCGCCAGCAACCCGCAACATCGCGACCAAAGCCACAGCAAGCTCCGTAAACCGCACCCCGATTCAGTACTGGATCAAATCGATCAACGACGCATGGATCCCCGGGAACCCCCTTCCGCCAGACTACTGGTGCTCCTACGACGGCGCCGCCTCCCCGCAGACCAACACGCTCGTGTTGACGTGGCCTTTGGCGGTGACGCTGAACGGGGCGAGGATGGTGCTTTTCGCTGATCAGCCTGCTGGGTCGAATATCGGGGTGCCGCCTCCTGCGAGCTGGCGGATCGAGTACTTGAACGGGAGCGGTGCGTGGATCGCGGTCACGGCGACGTCTGCGTATCCTACTGCTGTTACGGATAACCCTGCGATTGTCAACTTTAACCAGGTTTCGACCAACAGTATTCGTGCGGTTTTGGTGGCTTCTGGTGGGAATGGGCAGTTTGGTGGTGTTGGTGTCAAGGAGTTTGAGGCTCTTGCTCCTACTGCGCAGTGAACATCCAGAGAGCACGATATGAGAGGAACGTGCATGCAGAGCATTGAGAAATTCAGCCCTTGTTGAATATTACGTATCTTTCAATCAAGCTTTCGTAGCTTTTGAAGTTCTCCCAAGTGACCTCGCTCGTAAGTATCCAGTTTCAATGTTTCGGACGTGTCTCCTTGCACATAAACATGTATCTCACTCCAAAATCCCCCCATCAAAGCTTCGCCCGAACCTCAGGCTCCCCCAAAACCTCATGCTTGAACCGATACACAATATCACTAAACCTGCCCTCCGGAAAAACATAAAGCCACGTCATGGTCTCCCCGCCGTCGCAAAACACACCGTGCTCCGCGTCCCCGGGAATCCACACTAGCTGGTCCTTGGACACGGCGTGCCGGACGCCGTTAATCTCAACTTGTCCGCTACCGGAGAGCACGTAGTAGATCTCGGCCTGCTTGTGGCGGTGTAGCGCCAGGCTGCCGTTGGGCGGGCAGGTCGCTACGCCGGAGCTGAGGGAGTCGGTTACTGTGCTCGGGGCGGAGACGAGGGTGTGCCATGTTGCGTTGCCGCGGGACTGTTCGGGGAATGATTCTGGGGGATTTGTTGTGGAGGATTTGAGGTCTATTATGAGGGGCGATTCTGGAGCTTTTGATGCCATCTTTCTTTGCGTTTCCTTTGTTGTTACGGCACAGAGACTTAGAAAAGTTGTCGTCTACAAGGCACACAGTTTCTATGGTGTTGTTGGTGACGAGGAATTGTGTTCATGGAGGTTTATATCATTCGTCATCTACCCCTCCTATTCCGACTCCGGTGAGCTAAGAACAAGACGCCGTCTCATCCAATTTTTTACGTGACGATGGTGTCCGTTGTTCGTACTATATTGGTCGGCGATGTGGAGACCCACACCACCAGTCCGGCAAGAAATGCCTTGTTTGGCATGTCGAGCCTCGGGGTCTCAACTCTTTGTCCGGATAAGATAACTACAATCAACGACTTCCGTTGCACCGAATGCTTCATCGATTGGTGCTGATATGATAATATTTCCAGGTATGTTGCTTGTAGACAACGCGAGGGGGCCTCGGTGAAGGGCTTATGATGATACGCTCACCAATGAGTAGGCTTTCTGTCGGAAAGTATACTGATAATAGATGTGAGCGTAGCTAGAAGCTTTCTGTATCGGTATTGAGAATGATACCAAAATAATTTCACTCTATCAGCACCAAGGCTTCTGATAGAAATAACCTGGCTTTAGGCCCACAGATTGATGACACCCAACGACCAGTGCATCATCCGAATAGTTTCGCAGCATTGCTCCTTCTCACAGCTTCGACCTTGTTGGTGTCGTTGAAAGCCTTCTCAATATCTTGATCAAACTTAACTCTCCCAGCCTCAGCCATGGCCCAAGGCGTGAAAGGCGTATCCGTCCCCCACAACAGCTTCTCATAGCTCACCCACCGAAGCAGAGGAGCAATCGCCCAGGTAACCGGCCAAGGTCCAGCAAGGTCAAAGTAAAAGTTTTCTGCCAATGTAGCTTTCATAAACGACTCCGTGAGATTGACATCCGGCGTGCTATAACTGACAATCCGATCCAGAGTAGGAACGAGACCGCCGCCGGCATGAGGCATAATCCACTTGATGCGAGGGAACCGTGTCGGAATCTTGGAGTAGAATAAGTCTGCAAATGTGCGTGCTGTGTCAAAGGGGAAGTCGATTGTCGGCGCTCGTCCTTGCCGTCCTGCCACCGGCCTGTTCAGGGTAAGCCATTCCGGCGGTGCGATACCGGGGTCTTCTCCGTCGATTGAGAATCTCAAATGGTTGTGCTCGGTACAAGGTGCGGTAGGATGCTCAAAGATTGTGGCGTTCACCTCGTTCAGTGCCTTGTACACTGGATCGAGGTCCGGGTCGCCGAGGTACATCCCGTAAAAGTTGGACATGAGCACGATGCCGTCAGGTTTCGGGTCGAGTTGGGTGAAGCAGTATTTGATTTCTTCGACGGACGCGCTCACATCTGGGAGGGGAAGGGATGCAAAGAAGCCAAACTTGTCGGGATACTTGGATTTTACTTCTGATGCATATTCGTTTACTTGACGTGCGAGTTTGATGGCTTTCTCAGTCGCGTACTTTGATGGTACGGACAGGTATACCCCCGGGCTGGAGATGGACAAGTACGATTTCTCGATATCCTGGGCATTCATGAAGTTGAGATGTGCCTCGGGCGTCCATTCCTATCACCCCGTATAAGCATATCGCAGAGCCTTTCCAGGTGCCCGTAGATAGGGATAAATACTGACGGGAATCCCAGGCATGCCATCGGGCCCAGGTAAATGCCCAGCGTCTCTGAGCGCTAGCGCATAGAAGTCCGGGACGTAGTGCGCATGCACATCTATTTTTAGTTTTGAGGATTCCATCTGAGTGCCTGCCAGGGCGAGACTCAAAAGTTGGCCGACGATGATGAAGAAGAGAAGAGGCATGGCTAGTTGTGAGTTGAACTTAACGTTCCCACCTTGGGCGAAGTTGGTGCCAATGCGAGATCAAACCAGTAAGCTTAGTTGATATCTTCAGCTTAGGCACTTGGGCGAGCTGCAGTGATTATCAAATACATGTGAAGGACGCCAAGGCACCAGCACATGTCTCCTGATCCGAAGCCTTTCCACGCCGTTTCCTGTGCTGCGCCACAATGGCCAGGTTAGGTTGCTTTTGTCACGCAGCAGCGTGCATAGCGGCAGATACGAGACGCCACGCTTACAACTGTCTAGCAGTCTTTCGCGCAAGTTCATTACTTACATGCAGCCGTGTCGATCGTCACTTACAACGGTGGGGAGATGGGACGGGTCCCATCGACTTGCCATTTGGCTCTGTCTAAGATCAACGTCCACTTGCTCATGATGACCATGTGCCGCATCTTCAGGGGTGGCATGATCGCGAAACAAATTAACAAATTGCGCTTATCTTTGAAGCACTAATAATGGACGAGTTTATCGATCAGGTCTCCCTCTTTATCTCATTATCATATGCTAGCCACCAATCCTACATTCCTTTCCGCTGGAAGCAATTACTTTAGACCGCTCAATTCTCTTCTAGGCCAGGCCCTGTGAGTGGGCGATGGGAATGTTCGGTCCCATGACCACTTCTTTACCAAAGTCTCCTCGAGAGATCCGTCGAGCATCTGCACGACATATTTACCCAGGATGGGCAGGAACTTCCAGCCGTGAAAAGATCCACAGGTTGCGACGTAGAGATTCTTGCTTGCAGAGTGCGGGGAGATGATAAAGTCTTCATCGGGCGTGACAGCCTCCCTAACACATGTATTAGCAAGACATTGCATCTTTCATCTTGACTCGAGTCCTTCAGGAGCCTCTATACATACCAGCAGATACGATAGTTCTCGTTCTTGAATGTTTCGCTTCCTTTCCCAAACAGGCTCTTGCCAGCATAGTCAACATCTTCTTTCAGAGTATCTGGTACCTCGAGCTGCGCATAGTCAACTGCCGGGGGAGGTGTAGATAGCTGACTTCCGTTTGCATGAGTCTGAGTGTTTCTGAAGATGATCTGACCCCAGAACTTCAAGGTCTTGTCTTTGGAATGGGGAACACTTCCGTTGCTTGCGCCTAGGATAAGCTTTAGTATTTAAAACACAGCGGGGTTGAGTTGGAGCCAGCTCTTCCATACCTCTCGATGGAGGCACCATGGAGATGCCAACTGGCCCGTCGTAATAGTCCTTTGCATTCTCCCCAGAGACAGGCGTAAACCCCTCGGTAACAGCTGCTGCTACGAACCTGTCACCAGCTTGAAGATCTTTTCTTGCGGGTGCGCTATCAGCAAGCAACTTAGCCGTGTAAGCGCCTGTTGACAGAATAACTCGTGAGGCGGTAAGACTCTCGCCCTTAGACGTCTTGATACCGGTTGCAGCACCATCGTCATCGAACTCAATTTTTTCAACTTCTGCCTCAATGTACTTCACCCCGAGCTGCACAGCCTCTTCGATCGTTCTCTGCAATGCCTCCTTCGCCTCACCCCATCCACTATTCTTATTGACAAAAACCTCCTTCACATCAGTGAAATCAGCATCCTTGAAGATGCCGCCATACTGCTTCTTCGCCTCCTCGACAGAGAAAGAGAATAACCCAGAGTCGACTCCGAGCTTCTTGTAGTTCTCTTGCATTTGTTTTGCAAAGTTGTTTGGCGAGACCCAGTAGACGCCGCTTTCGTGGTAGTATGGTTTCCAGATCGGGTCCTCGGACCAGTACTTTTTGGCTTCGAGGCAGAGGCGCATGTACTCAATATCAACATAGTCGGCGCGCACGACCTTGTTCCAGTCCCAGGAGGCGGCGACGCGGATCGGGGCGTCATAGGCGTTACGGTCGACGAGGGTGATGCTGGCGTCGGGATAGGCGCGGACTAAGTGCAGGGCTGTGGAGGCGCCAAAAACGCCAGCGCCTATGATGAGGTATGACCCTGTTGAGGCGGCCATTTCTGCAATACGGAAGTGTGTTAGCTTGTTGATCTTGAGTCTGCGAAAATCAACTAAAGACTATGTTCTCAATAAGTCCGAGTGAGTCGCATCTTGATCCCCGTTGTCGGACACTGCCCGCACTTCATCCCCATCTTATCTTCTGACGTCATGTGATCAAGTCGGCACGCAATCAACTTTGGGCCGAACAATCTCCACTGCAACGTGGAGCAGGTCACATTCGTCAGTGTTGTCTCGAAGATATTGGTGGAGGTGTAAGTTCATAGCACTCCTGCCTTTGTCACACCTCAGAGTTGGGCTCTATCCGGAATACCACGCTGGGGATGAGAAGTGAAGGAGTCTATTCATCTATGACTCTTTCCCCAACTATGGTAAGTGATCAACCCTTGGAATCCAGTGAGTAAATTGAGACTATCCCTCCATGTCGTCTGTAATGTCGTCGGCGTCGTCGGCGTTACCATTCAACCCTCAGTACACAACAGTCTCCATGGTCTCAACAAGACTTTCAGGGTGGGACTTCCATTGTTCGCGAATGAGGCTCTTCGCTCCGCCTCCCATTTCGTTCCACCGCTGCTCATCCCACATTACATAGCCCCATCGTCTTAATTCTTCTGGCACAAACCCTCCAAAGACGTTGGAGTATTGTGCATTCCATAACAGGACCCACGCCAGCGGTGGTGAAAAAGGTGGCACGTTGTCACCCATGAACTTCATCGAAGTCTTGGCCCTTTCAAGTTTGTCCCTGGCAGGTGTTAGCCCCGAACTTCGATCATTGGATCTTGGGATTGGTATCCGCAACGTTATCCTTCACCTCATCAAAAAGTCTGTCGTACTTGGATTTGATGAATAGGTAGATAGACCCAGACGCCTCTACGTCCCATGGATCAAAGATTCCGAAGAAAGTATTACGAATCTTATCACTCCGAAAGCCATAGGACTGCACACCCTTGTTTCGACCGAATAAATGGCAATACGTCTCGAAGCGGTAGATTGCCCTGTAGATGCGTATCTCCTCACTTCGGCCAAGACTTGTGACGTTGTCGGCTCCTGTTCTTGTCGGAATGGATGTCTCCCCCGACGTGAATTACGATACAGATGACACCACCTGCCGGAGGTTTCCAAGCGCCCAATTCGCGTACAGACGAGCGATGGGTCGAGCTACAGAAACATGAAAAGCCGCCATCCAGCGAATTTGACCGCCCCTTGCAACATTATGTTTCCCTGAGAGTACGGTATCATAATCTTCGGGCAGGAACCGTTCGCACATATCGTCTGTTCGCTTCGGTCTGAAAATTGCTCCCCGAGACCTAAGGGTGGCGAAGGCGTCAATATAATACCCATCAAGCTCCTTGCTCAAACAAGTGAAAAGCAGAGTATCGCGGGTCTTTCTATACTGTGGATGCAGCACAGGGGATGCATTTATAACACTATGAAGCGTCGGTAGATCCGGCATCCACGATAGAAGAAGAAACCGAAGCTCGGCTGTTAAAGATTCGAGACGAGAATTGGTTTTTGAGTAATCGCAGACAGCCTTATTTTCGAAATGAGAAGAGACCTTCAGAGAGTCCGAAGCAGTCTCAACTATCAGGCCATCTGGATTAGATTCTTTCCCCAGCCAAGGAGTGGTCTCCAGGTGATTGGAAGTACCTTCCGTTTTTAGGTTACAACAGGACTTCGGAGAAGAGGAAGAGTCTTCAGTCTCCGAATAGGGAGAGTCGTTCGGGTGATCTGAGGCAAACGAATTGTCGAGACAAAGGGATTCTTCCAGCGGGCCACGAGGAATTCCTTCTATGAGGTAATAAGAGGACTTTCTCCGGTCGAGGTTAGTTTCGTGTCCAATGCGGGGTGAAGGGCCAAGAGGATCGGGCGGTCTGATCTTTGGGGTGATAAGAGAGCTTTGGGAAATCGACAATACTTTCGATTTTGACGTCAAGAATTTCCTCCATGCTCTCGGTCATTGTGTTCATTCTCTCTCCATCATCATTGCCACTTCGAATGCGGCAGGGTTCGCTGTCGTTGTCATCTTCTGTCGACATCGTTTGGCATCTTGGTAATAAAGCAAAGTCTTTAATCTGAACATGTGTATGAAGGAGGAAAACGATCCTATAGGGTATTTTGGCACAGTCGAGGAGAGAGAGAGAGAGATCAAGATTCAGGTAATGGTGGGGTTGTGTTTGTGAAGAGGAAGAGATCGGGGTGCTGAGCCACTCGCTGAACTTCGAGTGGGCCAGTCTTGTTACACATATTGTTTCTTTGTAGCTTGATGCGATAATACAAATTATGTCATACCAAGGGAGATAGCTTGCACTGCGATCTAGGCTCACAGTCCCAGCCACAGTCATCAGTTGACTGAGTTGCTTTGCCACCGACATCAGCACACTACATGTCGTCCGGGTTGGCTTTAAGGTATGTTGGGCAAAAGATTACTGACAAGACATCGTTCACATCTCATAGAGATGTCCAAGAGGCCTCAACATTCGATACCATGCATGTAGGAGCTCCGGTAGGCAGTGGCTAATGTGAACTCCGCACCTGTGAATCATATTAATCTAAGAGTCCCGGTTGTATGAGTGAATAAGCGCCTCATCATGTAGTCAGTATCGTGCTGATTACATGTTATGATATGTTCTATTGGCGCGTGTGTAGAGCAACGCTTCTCTACATGTATTGTTCTTACATCAATGCCCAATTAGGTACTCGGACTTGACATGGAAGCTTCACTGCCGACAATTTCCTCCGACTTTCTTTCACTTCTCAGATGAACTTAAGAAGATACCTTCTAAGCAACGACCTTCTTGTTCATAAGTGGCATCGATTTGAATGACCCGTAAACTTCATAGCAGCATTTGTTTCTCGACCCATGACAATCACCAATACCACACGTTACGCCATAAACTCGACCCAATGATATCTGCTGCCTGTTCTCCAAGCGCATAAGTGGCTACCTGTAGGTTCGCCGAGATAGGAACGGGGAACACGGACGTGTCGACGATACGAAGGCCCGATACCCCCATCACTCGTAGATCGCTGTCTACGACAGTGCCCATGGCGGCTGTGCCGGCAGGATGATAACATCCACTAGGTACATAATAGACCGCGTCAGTAAGACCATGAAGCCGAAAAATGTTGTAGAAGTGTGCAGAAGAAAGTAAGTATGCGAGGAAGTGACCTACCCAGTGTGGCCGCGTACCAGGGCGTCGACCTCTTCATCGGTGGAATCCACCGTCAGTGGATGATCCGTTCCATCGCCGTCAATAATCTCTCGACCCATAATGGTCATGTTGGATGACATGAGCCTGACAGCCTCCCGTATCGTCTCTCGTGCGGCAAATCGGTCAAAGTTGGAACCCAGAAAATTCGGGTCGATAACAGGGTCGTCCTTTATATCGGCAGACTGGATCGAGACGGACCCGCGACCAGTGGTAATAAGAACGACGGAGACGAGCATGATGGCAGATCCGTCGGCTGAGATCCCGCTATATAGGAGTTGATGTGAGGAAACGGCACGGTCTCGATTCAGAAGTGGGTGCAGCATCGGGTTGGGGGAGATCCCGCCTTCGTCCTGTGCAATGGCATCTGCGAGGCCTTTTCTGGGAAGCTTGGTGGCGGTGATGAAATCGCCGAAGCCGCCAAGATCGTACTGGGGCTGCTCAAATAAAGGATTGCCTGATCCCTTGGCCCAACCAGCGGAAGGATCGGCGAAGTGCCAGAATGTGGGGAGGAGGATGTGATCATGCAGGTTCTGGCCGACGGCTGGCTGGTCCAGAATGACGTTGATGCCGTGCTCTCGGAGCATGTCTGCCGGTCCGATGCCGGAAAGCATCAATATTTTTGGCGTATTGTAGGCGCCTGCTGAGAGGATCGTCTCACGCGCAAAGATCTTTGTGCCGTTCTCGAGTTGTATGCCGCGGGAGACAAGGGGACCTCTAGGGGACCGATCCACCAGGATACGAGCGACGAGGCTGTCAGTTAGAACGGTGATGCCGTCGAGAGAGTAGACCTGTGACGCCAGCTGGCGCTTGCCGTGGTGTCTGTTTTCTTGGATGTTGCCTACGCCGAGATTATCGCCGCAGTTAGAGTCAAGAGAAGGCAATGGATTGACGCCGAGTTCTCTCCACGAGTCCATCAGCGGCTGGCGCAGTGGAAAGATACGGCCCATTTCCACTGGAGTTTCGACCTTGACTGGTCCCTGATGCCCATGAACCGACGGGTTTGTGGTTTGGTCCCAAAGTGTCTCCGTCTTCCTCATGTATGGCAGCTGGCCCTCATACGTCCACCTCTCGTCGTCTACCATCTCGCCCCAAAGGTCGTAGTCGACCTTGTGGCCGCGAACCCAAGCGCCTTGTTCATGTCTCGTAAGCGAGGATCCAAAAGTCAAAAGTAAGTTGAAAGACGTCGGCTATGTGCCCGTCATATTTCTGGCCACTTACCTCCGTTAATGGCAGTGCCACCACCCAGCCCCTTGCCAGCGAGGGCGGACATAGTTCGATTGTCAACATTGACTTGTGGCACTGAAGTAAACGACCATGTGTGATTACGGGTCACTTCGGGGTCCGTTTCGATTGCCTTCAAGTCTACAAGCTCATGAGTGTTGGGGCCCGCCTCAACTAGGAGTATCTTGAGGGTCGGGTCTTGCTCAAGGAGTCGGTTTGAGACGACGGACCCCGCAATTCCAGCTCCCACCACAATGCAGTCCCAAATGATCATTATGATGGAATTCGAATTTGTCGTGCTTGAAAGAGGGAGAATCGGGCTGAGTGGGCGAACCCAAAGGATCAATTTCCCGAGGAGACGAGTTGTTAAGTACTCACTTCCACACACGCCCGGCAAAACTAGGCTTCAAATTTACGGGAGGGGGTAGAGTTAACATATGAAAACCAAGGGATGAAGAGAGACATGATTCTCCATCGTGTGTCAGACAGTGGAAAACAGCTTTATAGAGGGAATTCGAGAAAATACCATGAAACTCTTACGCGAAGTGGTCGTGGTGGTCACGGCAGTGGGTGTTGCGGGCATCTAGGGATATTTTTGGAATGTTGGCAGGTACGCTGTGTAACGGTGACACAGAGCCGAGAGGTTGAAGTCTCAAGACATCCCGTGATGCGGACACGTAGATTCTCGCCGATCTTATCCTTTCACTCGATAATTGATAGGTAGAATAGCTTTCAAGCTATGACCGAAATACCGCTTGGAGGTGCTCGGCATAATGCATTGTAGTGTTATAGCGGTGTTGCTGTCGCTAGATGGTGGTATCATCAAACTGAGCGACTTGTCGCTAGTAGGTGGCCATGCCGCTGTGCATAGACATCCTATCTTTCATGCTTGTCGCTGCTTTGAAATGCTTCATGCACTTGGGCAGCAAAAGTCGAGTAAGATCTAATCCTGTTGATTTTTAACCGCGTGTGAGTCGAAAGGCCACGGAACGAAGATCTCCGAGGTCTTGACTCTACAATCAGGGTAAAGCCCAGTCATACCTGGAGATAGTATAGCATCCAATAATGATTGTCACAATAGAGTGGTGATCCATCGGTTCTTTGTGAGATCATGAGTCGAGTCACAGGAAACCATCGATAGCGACGGCTATAACGAAAGAGAATACATCAGAGATTTGTCCAGTCGCTGTATAAGCTACATGACGCATGCTGCTGGATGAACATACTGAACGTCAATGAAGGACAGTAAAAGGTGCTTGCTAGTTGTAGCCCTTGTTGAGT